TCCTGCGCGGTCTCGGAGAGTTGCGCACCTCTTTAGGCCCAACACGAACCTGTGGACCCATCTAGTTGGCAGCGAGGACAATTGGGCTCCCAAAGTGTCGGCCGCTGGGAGTGCGGCCGGTGTCACGGTCCAGGACGCGACCACCTACGTCGGCAACACGCCTAATGACCCTTATGCCTCGCAGTATTCGGATTACTTTACCAAGTACACATTTGCCGAACTCTGGCGCAACCATGATGTTCACGGACAGTACGCCGACGGCAGCACATCGCCCGATGGCAACACATACGGTGCTTGGCTCGTTCACAACACCCGTGAGACGTACTATGGTGGCCCGCTGCACTCGTGAGTGACATCCTTGATCGTTTTCCTTGAATGAAATTCTAGTTTCTTGGTGAAAGCCTTTCTGATCATTTCTGACCTGCTACAGTGACCTTGTCGTTGATGGAATCGTCTACAACTACATGGTCTCCGGCCATCACGGCGCACCCGTGCCTAACATCACCCACGGGTTCGACCGCACGTTTGGGCCGCAGTTCTACTACTTCAACCAGGGTGGCCCGAAGACTTCGCTTGAAGACTTGAGGCAAGATGCCGCACAATACGCCGATCCCGAGTGGAATGCCGAGTTCTACGACAGCATTGCCAAGCATGTGCCCAACTACGCACCAACATCGCAGCGCACTACTTTTACGGCCAACATCAAGCTGCCGCGTGGTGCCAAGCGAGTCATTGCCGTTCTATCGGAGAACAAGCAGGACTTCCAGCTCAACGTGTTCAATACCAAGTCGCTCCAGTACTGGGCCGAGGTCGGATGCAATGGCAAGATCAAGATTCCCCGCGTCAAGGAGGGCACTTACCGACTGACCGTCTACGCGGACGGCGTGTTTGGCTGGTTCATCCAAGACGACGTCAAGGTCTCTTCGACCGAGCCGCACGGCCTCGGCGGCGGCAGCGGTGCTCTCGAGTGGAAGGAAGAGTCCGCAGGCAAGGAGATCTGGCGCATCGGCAAGCCCGACAAGTCAGCGGGCGAGTACCGCCACGGCTACGCCCCGGACACGTCAAAGCCGCTGCAGCCGGAGCAGTACCGCATCTACTGGGCGCAGTGGGACTTCCCGACCGATTTCCCCGAAGGCGTCAACTACAAGGTCGGCGAGAGCAAGGCCGATGTAGACTTCAACTACATCCACTGGAGCGTCTTCGGCGGCCGCGGTAACTCGGTGCGCCCGGAGCAGGTCCGTGACAAGATCAACAACTGGACCGTCGAGTTTGACCTCGACCGCGACCAGCTGCAGAGCGCCAAGACGGCGACGCTGACGGTGCAACTCGCCGGCGCCAAGACGGCCAACGGCAACAACAAGTGGGGTGGTATCCTGCCGGGCGAGAAGTACAGCAACCTTCCGTACACTGTCGCGCTCAACGGTGTCGAAGAGGAGACCTGGGTCATCCCGTATTGGCGGTCCGGGTCGTGCGGCGTGCGCAGCGCCGTCGTCTGCCAGAACATTGAGTACAAGTTCCGCTTCTCGGCTGCGAATCTCGAGGAGGGCGCCAACAAGTTCGTCCTGAGCCTGCCGTACAACGCCACGAACACCGAGGGGGCACTGCTTGTCAACGCGCTGTACGTGCAATACGATGCACTGCGATTCGAGCTCGAGTAGGCTGTCTATCATGCACGCAGTGTTGGCGTTTTTCGTTTTGTAGTACATAAGAGACCATTGGTACATGAGTGGTTAACTAAAGATGAATGAAAACATCGTTCTGTGACAGATTTGAATGGTGTTGATCGAAATATGCTCCTGTTTTGGTAGTTATTGCTCCACCGTTGAAGTAGGAATAGACCCCTCGTAACATTGTGTACATTGACAAGAACGCCCTCAAGAACGCCCCCAAGAAATATGTTGCTTCGTCATCGAAGTAGTCATGAGCTTCCAACCATCTGCGCCATAAATCGATTACAGCAACGCTGACCGACAAGCAAAGTGTGGCACCAACACGCTGGAGCTGAACACATATGACAGCTTGTCTATGTAGTCAACCTCCCGATCCTCCTCAGAGGCGAGATCATCTTGCGTCCACAAAGCGTGCAGCAGCCATCGCACGGACCTTAAGTCTCTGTGGCGTCCGCGATCGTTGGACGCCCCGAGCAGATTAAGAACACGAACCCTCGCCTCGTCAGTGCGAGCTTCGCTGCCGAGGATGAGGAGAGGCAGTGGTCTTTCGCAGCCGCCGATGAGACTCACCATGCGCAATCCTCGTTCTACCAGCGAACGAAAGTCTGACTCCGGCACCACAGGCTCGCCCGTCACACGACTCATGTAGATGATGGTCGATATTCGGTATGCCTCCGCTTTAGCTGCTCGTACCTTTGCCACAGCATCTCCCTTCATCTGATCTCCCGACGTCCGCATCCTTTGCACCTGGTTACCCAGTTCAATCACGCGTGCCCTGTACTGAGTTGTCTGGGCTGCTCTGTCGTGTCGCGGCAGTAACTCGGCTACGACGCTGGATAGCACATTCAAAGGTTCGAACATGATGTTGTGTTTGAGGCCTTCTTTCATATAGCGTGCGCTCCTATCGAGGAGGGTGTCATCCACTGTCGTCCAAGGGTTGTGCGTCGGTGTTGTATACTCCGCCGCATCGTTCTTCGCCTCCTGCATGGGCTGTCTCCAGTGGCGCAGGCTGAAGCGAGCGAGCAGACCATGGTAGTAGACCCACTCCAATATCGAGCTGCCAGCGGTGATGGAACAGAAAGCAGCTGTGGAATGACTACGTACAATGCTCGTGGCGCCGCGGAGATAGAAGAGCCATTGATTGGTGGTTTCCGCAGTCTGCTGCGTCTAGGTTTCAAGTCTGTACGTCAGTCCATATTTCGAAGAACTATGCGGAACCATGCGGGTGAGCCTGAGAACGTTGGGATCCTTGCTCATTCAGAGGGGGTTCGGGGACGCGAAGTATCGGACCAACCTCGAAGACGCTGAGCACCATACTGGCTGCTACGTGCTGGACTGCGCTCTTCACATCGGTGGCCTGACTGACGGATTTACTGAGGGCCTGTAAAGCCGCCAGCTTCATCTCCTCTGCCCTCAACCCGTGGCCGTGGCGATACAGAGCAGAAAGGGCCAGCAATGCTCGCTGCAGGGCTGAAGTTGATGATAAGCCCTCTGACAGCGCGATTCTTTGGAGTGCGAGCCCTAGCGGCTGCGCGCTGAAGGTTACCATCTTTTCGGAAAGATGATGTTGGTCTGCGCGCCATGTCAGCGTATAACGTAACGAAACATCTAACGACCAAACCGAAAACCATGGCCCAAGTCAAATTACTGACAGTAGTACAGGAGATCCATCTCGGGTGCGGCCAGCCCGGAGGAAGACCATGACAGCGGGTACTGGGGGCTCGGCGTAATGGTCCCCTGTCGTGATTTAAGAGACGCACATAATCGCATGTCCCATGATGAGACGTTGATCATGTGAAAAGGCCCAGAAGCTCTATGCTTCTCCTTACTGCCTCCTCTGGAGTGAGGGCTCTTGCTCACGATGAGACGCTTTTTATTGCCGTCTTGCGGCCAAGACAGCCGAATCCCGTAGCCCTGACAATTTCTCTTCGACCGGATGCAACTGCTGCATTGTGGAAAGAGGCGGTCACAACTGATTTTGCGCTCTACACGTGTCAGTTCTACTGCGCTCAACAGGCCCCGACCTGCGATGCAGAAGGGCCATAACAGGACAGGATATCCGTACCTATGCAGGTTCCGCACCGCTTCTTGGAGGAAGTTCCGGCGTTGTCAGATTGGAGATTTTGCTCCGGCTTCATATCGACAAACGAGGACGTCAGTCACTCGGTCAAGTCCATGCAATTTCATATGGCGGGCGGAAAGTATTCGTGGTTCGCAAAAAGATGCCTGTTATAGCTTTCTTATCCTACGATAGGGGCTTGATTTCTAAGCGCATGGTGTGATGCCCCGAGCTGACGGTCCCACGCTAACCCCTGCACTACGATGTCATGTTAGTGGGCCAAT